TCCACTAACCCTGGAACCCCAGAAGAATTAATCTGGCCTGAAGCTTTGAACTTCAGTCCTACCTACCCTCCCCGCATGGGGCTGGGGTGACAGGGGAGGGAGGTGTCTCAGTTGGGGCCACATCAGTGAGGCTTGTTGGGGGGGGTTGAAGGGGTTGGTTTTTTTGCATCTCCCTTGTGTGGTCCTTGACTGATTTTTCTGTGGGTCAGTAACCCCCTGACCCAAAACAGGTTCCCTGCCCTCTCATAAATGAAGACAATGCTGAAATGTTTGTGTTGGACATATTTTATTTAAAAATGAAGCCTGGCCAACAAGCCCCCTGTTGGGGCCAAGCCCCCATCTGGCCGCAGCATCATAACACCCCTGCATCCCCGCACACACCCCAACCCTGAGCCTATCATATACTGGAACCCCCACTGCATCATACACAGACAAGTGTTAGCTGCTAAAGCCCTTCCAGATGACCTGCGTGACTTGTTGAATATGACCATCAAAGTTGTCAATTTTATAAAGAATAGCACTTTAAATGTTGCTCTTTGCGTGGATTTGGGAGCGGATCATAAAACTCTGTTGTTTCACATGGAGGTATGATAGCTTTTCAAAGGTAATATGCTTTCAAGATTATTCGAACTGAAAGACGAAGTGGAAATTTTCCTCAGGCAACAGAAGAAAGAAGAGTTATATCATGCGTTTATGAACCATACGTTTCAACTTTCACTGGCATACCCTGTGGACATTTTTAAATCTTTGAACAGCCTCAATTTGAAGCTGCAAGGAAATAACGCTGAAAACATTATAGCGCACCACAATGCCATTAAAGCGTTTATGGAAAAAAATCCAGCTTTGGAAATGTCAAGCACAAGCTCAGATGCCTAACTTTTCGTCTTTTCTGACATTTTCCGCACTTGCTGAAAATGAAGGTTTCCAAGAACTTTGTAAAGAGGATGCAAAGAACAAAATTGTGTTTCCTCTGGACTGCCTTGCTGATGAATTCATCCTCTATTTTCCAGACAACTTTTCTGGCAACCCCGTTAGTAAATTAGCACACAATCCATTCAACGTTGATGTCAATTCATTGCCAGAAGTATTGCAAGAGCAAGCACTCAAAATGAAATACAATTCAAGTGCGAAAGATAATTTTGAAAACTCAAGCTTGGAGGAATTTGGGATAAAATATTTCCCAATTTACTCGAAAGTTGGAGAAGAAGCACTGCATATTATTCTTCCGTTTTTGTTGACGTACCTCTGTGAAAAAAGCTTTTCAAGTTTAGTCACATTAAAAACGAAACAAAGAAATCGACTGGACATCGAAAACAATTTGCGTTGTGCACTTTCAAGTTTCAAACCTAGGATTTCATGAAGAAAATGCAGCATTATCCTTCACATTATATTTGTTTTGTTTCTGCTATTTCTTATGTTAAATTACATTTTTATTTATGTTCCAAAAAAACCTATTTGTGCTTATTTTTAATTTTAAATTAAAAATTTTATACCAAGTTTTTGTGTTAATTTTAAATGTCAAATTAAAAATTGAATTTTTTGTTAAAAGGGGGATTGGATGATGGTAAAGAAGAGGTGGGAAGGCGTGAGGGTTTCTCAAAAATCAAAAAGGGGGTATGATGCCGAAAAGTTTGGGAACCACTGATCTAGATCATCCCTGATGTGTGTCTAATCTGTTCTTAAATTTATCTCCAGTGTTGGAGATTCCACAATCTCCCTAGGCAATTTATTCTAGTGCTTAACCGTCCTGACAGGAAGTTTTTCCCTAATATCCCACATAAACCTCGCTACAATTTAAAACCATTGCTTCTTGTCATATCATCAGAGGTTAATGAGAATAATTTTTCTCCATCCTCTTGTGATATCCTTTAGATACTTCAAAGCAGCTATCACATCCCCTCTCAGTCTTCTCTTTTTCCAAACAAAGCAAACCCAATTCTTTCAATTTTCCTTTGTAGGTCATGTTTTCTAGAACTTTAATAATTTTTGTTGCTCTTCGCTGGACCCTCTCCAATTTTTCCACATCTTTCCTGAAATGTGGTGCCCAGAACAGGACATAGTACTCCAACTGAGGCTTAATCAGCACAGAGTAGAGCGGAATAATTACTTCTTGTGTCTTACATTAACAGGAGTGCTGTAAGAATCCCAGAATGATGTTTGCTTTTTTTGCAGTGTCTCACTTTTGAGTCATATTTAGCTTGTGGTCCACTGTGACCCCCTAGAGCTCTTTCTGCAGTACTCCTTCCTAGACAGTCGCTTCCCATTCTGTATGTGTGATTGTTCCTTCCTAAGTGGAGTACTTTGTATTTGTCCTTATTAAACTTCATCCTATTTACCTCGGACCATTAGATCATTTTAAATTATGGATCATTTTTATACTCTGGTTATTAAATAGTTAACCATTCAAGGGAGGTTAATTGTCTAAATGTCACAAGTACGTTGCTATGAGTTAACTGCATGAGCACACGGTGGAAATAGGATGCAGTAGCAGGTGCAGAGGTGGAGCAAGGGCAGGAAGAGATGAGGAGGGGGGAGGTCTTGAGGAAAGGAGTGGAGCAGGGCCTGGGACTCGTGTGTGGGGGAGGGAGGGCTTGGAGGTCCATGAAAAAATCTAAGTCTAAATGGGAGTCCTTGGGTTTGAGAACTACTGCCCTAGTTCACTAATGACTTCTGTTGCTCTTTGATTTGTCAGGTTTCTCTCTTTCTGGTAATCTGGTCACCATGCATGAAAGCTGTTTTAGAGATGCAGTTCTATTAGGCTCATAGAGAAAGGATGATTATTGCTTTGCTGCTACGTACAGTGCTCTGTCTGTGTTTTGAGCACCTAATCTGCCTGTGCTCTTTGCAGATACAAGCACACATTAGTCACATTGCAAGTTAATGTCTAACATGTTTTTCATGACACTTGTTAGCATCATTGCTTTCCAGGATTTTCAATCACAGTGGCTGTGTCTAGACTGGCAAGTTTTTCCGCAAAATCATCTGCTTTTGCAGAAAAACTTGCCAGCTGTCGACACTGGCTGCTTGAATTTCCGCAAGAACACTGACGATCTCATGTAAGATCGTCAGTGTTCTTGCGAAAATACTGTGCTGCTCCCGTTCGGGCAAAAGCCCTCTTGCGCAAATCATTTGCGCAAGAGGGCCAGTGTAGACAGCACAGTACTGTTTTGCGCAAAAAAGCCCTGATGGCTAAAATGGCGATTGGGGCTTTTTTGCGCAAAATCGCGTCTAGATTGGCCACGGACGCTTTTCCGCAAAAAGTGCTTTTGCGGAAAAGCATCCGTGCCAATCTAGATGCTCTTTTCCAAAAATGCTTTTAACGGAAAACTTTTCCGTTAAAAGCATTTCCGGAAAATCATGCCAATGTAGACGTAGCCAGTAAGTATGTGTATTCTGGAATATCTAGGTTCTTTTATATATTCACTGTCACTGCTTTTGAAAGGACAAGGAAATGCAAAGGAAACGAAATATACCATACATTACAGTGCAGTGTTAATGCATTTTTTCTCAACCGTAAATATTAGACATAATAAACAGCCTCTAACCAACAGTAAGAATAATTTATCTGATGAAGTGGGCTTTACCCATGAAATGTCATGATCCTATATATTTGTTAGTTTCTAAGTTGCTTCAGGACTACTCGTTTTCATACATGAGTCTTAGTCAGTTATTGGTTACCTGGTTGATGATCCATGGTAGTTTCGGGACAGAGTCACTGGAGTATATACAACAAAATGGGAAGTTTTGTCTAGCCCCTGTTCTTTTCCAAATGAGAATGTTAAAAATTCAGTTAAATAAAACCTTCAAATTAGAAGAGTCTTCTAATATTTTCAGAATTGGAGTGCTGGGAAAAATAATCCTTGGGTAAGAGGGCAAAGAATTAAAAGAGCTCTGAAGACGAGGCTATGCTGGGAATAAGGGGTGGTGAAAGAGAATCAATCCCAACATGGCTAGTGGTATCATTGTACAATATATACCATTTAGTTACAATAATCTTTGGTGTTGCTTGTAATCAGTTAAGAACAAACAAAAACAAGCCCCCAACAAAAACAGTGAATTCTTTCAGATCTGTGCAAGTATTCTTTCTCAACAATTTTTCAGTAAATATCATATTTTCTTGATGTATATGTACAGAAATAATCAATATTTTGTATTATGTACACACTATAAACATAGATGATGTTTTACATAAAAAGTAAAAAGTAATTAGTGAAATTACTGCCCCACTGAAGTCAATGGTATAACTCCAATTGATTTCATTGGACCAACATTTCACCTCTTATTTTTTACAATGAGGAATTTACAATAAGTAAAAAATGGTATACTAGTGAACACTACATGCACTAGTGAATGTTTGCAGGGTTTGACCCTAGGTTAATGACAAACACTAACTGGGCTGAGGAAGGGAAGGTATAGTACAATGATTAAGTGGTTGTTTGAATTAGTAATGTACATGTCTTGAAAGTTCAAAAACACACAATTAATTTGAAAGGAGGATTAGTGTAATTGTAGGTTTAGGCTAGGTTAGGTAGCCTTTGTTTACATTAAGTTTTGACAAAGACTATAGTCAAGACAATGAGAAAAATTCTAACAATTTCCCCTTTCTGTTCTATATGAGATTTTAGAACACATTTTATTAAAAAAATCTTACAAACTTCTGGACATTTTTTTGTGATACTATCAGAATGTTACAAGGAAAAAAGTATATGCTTCATTTAGATATTTTATATCCAGTTAATTTCTGTAAAGGAAATAAATATCTTTTATTTAAATGTTTGTTGTATACTTCAGTATATTAGTCAATAAAACAATTTTAATGTATATTTTATGAGAACAATATTATAAAGTTTGTACTTAAGGTTTTTTTTTAATAAATAAAAGGTAGAAAGGGCAGCAATTTTAATTAACATAAGTTTCACAATGCACAAATGTGAAATGACCATTTGAAAAATCTTTCAGAGCATCATGACATGGCAAAATTTCTTTCTGTGTCACTATCCGTGAATGTTATAAAGGATTGATTCAGTCCAAAAGTGGAATCAGCCTTGCAGGTCTAGTATAAGTGTAACTAATACAGGCTCTGGTAAGGAGTTACCATGCATTACTAATGAGAAAGGCACAGCCAAAAAGTAGTATACAACATTTCCTGAGCTTCAGAAGCTGGATGTGGCTAGTAAGCTTGATATTTCTTTTTTTCTTATCTGCCCCCGTTTTTTTACTCTGCATTATTTAAATTTCTCTGATATCTAAATTTATAAAAGATTTAAACGTTCCATAGATATTCTAAGATGCCATCATAGTCAAGGCCACCAATTTGGATACATTTCATACTAAGAAGCTACACTGAAATGAACATTGTGGGAAAACTCAATTTAATGATACCTTGGAGTGTGTTCTTGGTTCATTCTCTGCTGTTCTCTTTACAAGGTAAGAACTTATGCTCAATTTTTACCCTAAAAACCTTTCAGGAAAACTTCTGTTAACAATTTAGCAATATGGTTACTTATTTTTGTTTCAGTGGAAAGAAAATATTTCTTACAGCCCATGGCTTGATTAAACAAACAAACCAGTAATACAGACTTAATACCTTAACTCACACTCTTGACTGCTTTGGAAACTAAAAATAACTTAAAAAAAAAAGTTCAAACTTAAATGCTTGAATTTTATAACAAAAGATTGGTAAAGAACACAATTATTTTTCTTGGCTTTCTTGCTTCTCATTATTGTCAACTGTGCTATCAGATTGATGCAGGCTTAATTGTTATGAACAAGATATGGGTTTACTCAAGATTTGGACTGCACCTGCAGTGTGTTTGAACATTTTTATAACTCTAGAGAAAATATTTGGCATACAGAGTACAGAAACTCTCCCAGCTGTTGTCATCATACAAGCTAATAATAGATACCATAGACAGCTGAGAAAAACGATTCCTTGGAAAACAGAGATTTTTTCAAGCATTGTAACTTTTATATTTCTTGAAAGTAAAAATATTTTTAAAATAAAAGTAAATCGGCATGAAAGCTAGAGAGAAATTTAAATGTATTGCGCTAAAGATTTGTGATTACTATGGTCAGAAAAGCATTACAAGTAGCTGCACTGAAGCCTGATCCTGAGAGGTTCTGAGCACCTTCCATATTGATGCACTTAAGTCTGAAAGGCAGGGTGCTGAGCATTCACCATTTCCACTGATGATGGTTTGGTGGAAGTCAAGGTTGCATGGCACTTTGCAGGATCGGGCCCAGTGGGAATTGCAGGTTCTCAGCACTTCTCAGGATCAGGCTTTGAAGAAGAAAGATATCACTCACTCACAAGAAATTGTTTCTATCTTTGCGGGCTGGGAGTAACTCAGTCCTAAACCCCTCTAGAAGACAGGCTGCATAAATGCTTTCGGGAAACCTTACTGTCATTAGTTTTCTTCTAAAGAACAAAACTCAGTCTTTGTTAAAGTGAAGTCAGGTACACATTTGTCAGCCTGCAAAATGTGTGGAAGGAGATAGAGGGATAAAATGGTTTAATTCCATCACTTTTTATTACACAGGATCCAATTGCGAGTTTTCTCTTTTGAGAAGAACACCAAGGTGAGTGTGTGTTCCTCATTTGCAGAGTTTTAAAAGCAAATACAGGTGGAATCAGGAAGGCTCGTCTGATGTAATGAAAGTATAGGAAATGCGTAGGGCAGTGAAGGTATAGGAAACCCTTTTCAGTCGGTTAAAATTTTATGGCCCCCCTAAGGGGAGCAGCGGCAAGCAGTGGCCAGCATGTCCCTTGTCCCACACCGCTTCCTCAGCTCCCGCCCCCTCCATACTTTGCCTATCCATGGAGGACATGTCGAGGGGGCTCTCATGGTCCAAGGAAACTCCTGCCCCAGCACTCCACCCTTGGCCAGGCACAGAGCCCTGGGAAAGAAAAGAAAGTAAGGGTTGGGCTCACTGTGAGACTGGGAGGAGGGAGAGGGCTGAAGCGCAAACGGCAGTGAAGCTGGCAACAGGAGGATGGATGGTGGTTCCTGGGGTATCAAGATCCTATCCAAAGGGTGGGAGGCAGCGTGTGTGCAGCTGGTTGTGAACAGCGAGCCCCAGGCGAGAATCACCTGGTGGAAAGTCCCAGTCCCCCGGTGGGCCCGATTCTTACTTTTCTTTTCCTTTCCTTTCCTAAACTTTCCATGGACCCCCTACTGTACCGTTGGGACCCCCAGGGTTCTACGGACCACAGGTTGGGAGCGACTGCAGTATGGCCTTGTGCAGAACACCTCTAACTTTAGGAACTTAGACATAAAGTATTCCTTCAGCTTAATAACTCTTCCCAAAGAACCGGTGATTAAACATGTGAATCCTTTTTTGAAAAACAAGTGCCGCTCTTTAGTAATCACAAAAAGATGGTATCCCTCAGGAGCTCAGGGAAAGACACAGAATGAGTATCTAATGTGACTATTTACATACCTAATTCAAATGTATATTAATTAAATATTATCAGATCATTTTAGTTTCAGGATAAAAATAATAAAATTCTAGTGATATGCAGAAAGGAATTATTCACAAATACAATGTGCTATACATAATACTGTCTCAGTGATGATAATTCATTTTCTCAGTCTGAAAAACAGCACTTTCCCAGTAAGCTATATGCAATAGTTAAAACCAAACCAAAACCAAGGTATCTTCCCGATCCAACTGAAGTCAATGGCAAGTTTGCCATCAATAGAAGCACGATTAGAGCTTGGCTCTGAACATCTAATCACTTCCAGTACATCTAGTGAGCCCACATCATATTGTACAAAATCTGCCCTGTTAAACAAAGTGTATTTTGTAGATTGAGACCATTATTTCTGAAATTAATTTAATTTTTACCTATTGTAATTTAGTTACCACTGTAAGGTAATTTTACATTTTTAACACCACAGCACAGGTAAATAGCACTGGTGCACCTCAGTAGCACGTGTACCTGATTCACACATCTAATGAAAGAGCTTCACTATGTTGTGTCCCATATTATAAGCCCAATTTGCTTATCTCTCCTCCTCCATAAATACCAGGTATCTTCCCGAACAAGTAGCCTGTGTTCAAAAGCAAAGATCTGAGCACTCTTGAATTTTGTAAAATGAGACTATGAAAAGAAAGAAGTCACCTTTTTAAATGTTAACTCAAGAAAGGCCTCTTTGATAACTGTGCTGGAAATCAGAAAGAAACACGTCTCCCTAGGGAACCGCTTATTCAGGTTGCTCAGGGACCTTTGATTATACAAGATCCTTTTTGTTTTCTTCCAGAAACCAATTTAATGCAACTCGACAGAAAAGAGATCTCTTAGCAGCTGAGGTAGGTTATACCACTGAGAGAAAGAGGGTCAAAAATCCCCCCTCCTTTGTGTGATGGGGCTTTGCTGTTGTCACAATGAGGTCTTTGTAGAGGAGATTGGAAATGGTAATAAGACAGGGATGAGGAGAAGTTTTTCCATACTTGCTTTCCTTAAACTTAAATCCACAGCCTCATTCATTCTTGGCAACATGCTTCATGAATTATCCTTCCTAACATACATTCTCTGAGTGGGGAGAAACAGGTCTTCCTTAAATTTTTCATGAAAGCAAAATGAAACTTCGAAGTGACTGTTTGGCGGAAAGCACAACAATGAAACTATAGTAAACAGTTTTGCAAACAGTGTTGCTGTTGCGACAGTGCTGCTGGGCTGTGCAGCAGTTCCCAAGCAGGGGCTGTGCTTCCAAAGGCTATTCCCCCGCTCCATTTCCTCGTTGCTATTAAGAGAACTTGAGAAGGCCATGAAACACACCTGACATTTATTCTGTCTGGGATGAGTGTCAGGTTAGTTTTAAAAGTTCTTGCTCTGACATTTATTCTGTCTGGGATGAGTGTAAGGTTAGTTTTAAAAGTTCTGTTGCACTAGAATTTTGTTGTGTGTCTGTGACACATGCAAAACACTTGAAATGATCACCCTATGCTTGTCCTGCAGGGAGCAATAACCGGAGCGTGGTTGGGGTTAGTTTCGTGTCTGGGCTGCTAGGAAGCCAGAGAAAGTGCTGTGTGCCTGTTTGGGACAGATGGCTAGCCCTGTGCTATTATCTCAGTAAACTATGCTTCTTGTCCTTCTTCTGATAACTCTATTGCCGTGTTCTGTCCTAGGGATGGCTGCATTTCAGTGTTGGAAAAAATAATTCCTTATACATGTTTTACAATTTTACCTACTGTTTACAAAACATTTTGAGATTCTCTTGGGTTAAAAGTTCTATATACATGCAAGATCATTTTATGTATTAAAGTAATTGTCAAATTCTTATCCTAAAATTGCTGCAAAATCCCTGGAGCTGTGTTAGACATTTATGAAGTATTAACACTTTGGTTTTGGTTTTTTGTGTCTTGGATAGCCTGGAGCAGATTCTGCAGGGTCTCGCCTTCATGGGGACCTTACTCATGGTGAAAGACCATTAGGAGGTCAGTGCCATGTTAGTAATCCACTACTGGTTTGAAATGGTTTCAGTAAAATGCTATCTATGCATCAACGATTCCTTGCTTCCAAGGATTGTGTACCTTTTCATAGTATTTATCTCCCATACAAAACTCAGTGCTATCTAATTTTGTTTTGATAACTTGTACTTCTGATGTGTCACAGAAAATGGTTATTAAAACAATCCGTTTTTAAGGTAGCCATTAATGTGACACCCAAGCACTTGCGGAAACAAATCCTTCATTGCTTTACAGCTATTTCCACTCCCAGTTTACTTGTGTGTCACTTTAGGCCTTGTCAGATTGAGCATGTATGCTGAATGGGATTGATAACAGCAGTGGTCCATGGAGCAAGACAAAACTAAAGCCTCTTTTAGCAGATTCTAGGTGTCAATCAAACTTTTCAGTTTGTTCAGAGTGAATTGAGGGATTTCACAGATTATCCACAGATGATATATTTCCATTGCTATTATCTAGCATCCAACATGCAGAAATGATCAAATGGGCTGAAGACTGACACTTTCTTAAACCAAGGCATGTCCACTCATAGATGGAGTTTTTGAGGTCATTGATAACTATGACTACAAATCATGGAGCATCTTATATTGCTGTAATTTTAAAAGTGTTTCCTTCAAATGAAATGGGGAAGCTAGATAGTATTCTCTGCCTTGTCTGAATTTTCAAATGGATTTATCTTTATATGTATATGAAAAATAACTTTAAAGGCAAAAGAATATAAAGCTAAGGTTTATGTGCTGCCTTAAAAAAAGAACATTTTATAATTAAAGTTAAAATTGTCAGGCAATGCTGACATCTTTGTATGGTTTTGCTTCAAAAGTTTATTCAGCTCCTATTTAGGTCATTGGAGAATTTTTACCATGGACTCGCTGAGTCTGGTTCTAAGATATTTTTTTTATCTTTGTTTGTTTCTTTGTGCAATAGAACAGAATGTAAGTAAAGATGTTCCCCAGCTGCAAAATCCAGAAGAGGATTTTTAACCCCACCAGCCTTAGAGATATTTGGATCCAAGTTTTGAGTTTGGCTCATTATACAGAAAGTAAACTTTCTGCAAAATACTGATTCCTTCTGCCCCTCCCCTCCCACCTTCTCCCTGCATTCTTCCATATTTTGGACATTCAGATGTGGTGTTTTGTTTTAGATCCATCTCTCTTAATAAGGCCAATGGGAAAAGTATAGGGTCTTAGTTTTTTGAATGGTTGCATATAAAACTCTTTAATGAAAGAAAATGTGTATATAATTTTAGAAAAATATTAAACTGGAATATAAAACAACTAATACTAATGACATTTTAAGCGCATGATAAATTTCAGCTGATCAAACAGAAATAATAATTTCTGATCTTTTGTAGCATAAGTGGTTGTTGTTGTTTTGACTATGTACAATTTTATGTTCATAGGGATTTATAGCCTGACTGTATCTTTCACTCTAACTTGTATTAATAGGGGACTGAACATAGGTGCTTTTTTGTGTTGAATTCAATCAAAGAGTATAATATGCACCTTTTATATTTCTGTTGCAAGACTGCTGGGATTTTGTTTCTTTACATGGGAACTTGACCTTTTAGTTACTAGAAGAAAGACTGACCTTTGCTCTCTTGTTTGTTTACAAATCTTTAATCTATCTTCTTACCAAACAACAAAAATATGAAATGATATAAACATTGAAAACCAAGATTGCTGTTGGTTAACTTTTTAACTAATAACTCTGCTTCTATTTTAGTTAATAGAAAGGTTTCATCCAAAATTTTTGGCATGTTGATACAATTCAGTGCTAGAAAGCAGCTATGTTTCCCTTCAGGCTCTTGTCTTCAAGAATGCCTTAATGGAGCAGTTTGTACAGAGGCGGGTGTATGTGACTGTCAGATGTTTCAGGCTCATGGTGAAAGATGTCAAATTGGTAAGTTTCAGTAATTGGTAATGGAATTGAGTTTCAGATTAGAGTGGGATTTAGGAGCTAGTTTATTAAAATACCATCTATTCAGAGCACTTTTGCAATTGCCTTATAAACCAGCTTAATCCTAAAAGGGATGCAAGGCTGCTCAAAGGCTAATTTCAGAGTGAGATATGGGAGTACAGAAGAACGTCAGACATTCCTAAATTTTATGAATACCCGTCACAGTATCCCAGTGCATCATAACATTACCATATCTGCTTTTATTTATTTAATTGTATCACCAAAAATATCATGGCACTTGCCCATTCTGAAGACAGGGTGTTCAAATATTTAAATGGGACAAGTTTTGGCAGGTACAATCTATCAATAGTGAAATTGGGGTAGAAACTTATTTACCCCTATCTTGATTCCTCAGGCTGGCTAGGCTCTGTAGAATATCTGCAATAGAAGCCATGGAGAGACTTTGTAAAGCAGGGGTAGGGAACCTTTGTTGGGTTGGGGGGCTCCTGACCCCCAGAAAAATCAGTCAGGGACCACACACAAGTGAGAAGCAAAAAAAAAAAACCTCACACCCCTCACTGAGTGTACTCATTGGTCTATTTCTAGTTATAATTTAAAGGTGAAATCCAGGCTTCATTGATGAGAATGCCTTTATTGGTCCACAGTTTCCTCTAAAAGTAATACAATTTGTCTTAGTTTTATCATTCAAAAACTAAAATGATCTTCTGTGCTGATATATGCTTGTCTACTATGTGTATGATATCTTACTTTTGTGCATGTCTGTGACTCTTCTTTTGTTGTTTTGCTTTTTATACACTTGTCTGATTTATTCTCCCTAGTACCTAACAATGGTAAAGATCGAGATGGAATCTGCAAATCATGGGGGCAATATCACTTTGAAACATTTGATGGCATCTACTACTATTTCCCAGGAAATTGTTCCTATATTTTTGCAAAAGACTGCAATGCTCCAGAACCTCAGTACACTGTTTGGGTAAGCATGTGAATATGAGTTTTGAAATGAAATACAAAAAATTGCTATAACACAGAACTTGTATTAAAGTATAACAAAAAAAACCTCAACAGAGACTATAGATGGTGCAAAGGTGGTTTATTTCCTTTTTTAGAACTATAGAATGTGCTGATCAAAAACTCTGTACACTTTCAATAACTGAAAACATTAATAAATGATAATTCACCAGCAGATTCAGTACATCATAAATATTTCTTCCTCCCCCCACTCCAAAACAAATCTCACTTCTCCCTTCTAGCAAATTTTGTGTTGGAAAAAATAGACCTTGAAGCGTGCCTGGTTATTCAGCAAACTTGACCTGAAGAGCTCCATGTAAGCACAAAAATGTATCTCTCTCTCTAGCTATTGGGCCAGTAATAGGTATTACCTCACCCACCTTGTGTCTCTAACTAATCTGAGCTGTCAGACCATAGAAACAAGTGAATTCCAGAGAACAGTAAAAACAGCTTTCATCAGCGCCTTCCATTTAAATCTGGAGGTTGTTCCCTTAAGAACTGTAGTTGATTGAGGTAGAACATAAATGTACAGATTGTTTGTGAATGTGATTGATGGAACCTTTTAAATATTATTGCTGTTTTGCGGTGTTTGCCCTGTGTTTGCTCACTTTTGGAAATCAACGGGCACAACTTATGTGCTTTGGTCATAATTTTCTCAAGGTTATTTCCAATTCTATGCCTGCTGTTATGGACAGAATGATGGTGGGTCTTGTAGAAAGGGATGACCAGCAAGGAAATAGATGATGTGTGGCAAATCATTGGGATGTCAGCTGCTAAGTGTGCACTGTTAGTGCTGGGGTGAGAAGGCTTTGGAAAATTCTGCTATAATGTCTCTAATAAATGGACTTCACTTACTTTTTATAGGCTTAAATTGTTTGCTGGAATATTCCACAATGACAAATAATTGCAACTATACATTGGCGGTTTTGAGAAGTCAACTGGCCAATCAGGCCAGATGGCAAAAGTACACAGCCACAATTGACCTCAAATGGCACTTTTATTGGCAGTGTCAGCAGACAGACCAGGGAATGGCACAGAAACTGAACCTACAGATGGTCCTGCTGGAGGGACATTGATAGGGTAATGTAGGAACTTTATATTGCTCAGGTTTTATGGATGAAATAGTGGAGTTCATTCTGTAGGGCTGCACATAGTCAATATATTACTGGAAAAGAGTGTGTGATTCTAATAGGAGTTGCTGCTTGTGTCAATTTTTGCTATACCTTATCACTAAGGGTACGTCTACACTGCATCCCTAGTTCGGACTAGGGATGCAAATGGAGACGACCGAAGTAGTTAATGAAGCGGGGATTTAAATATCCCGTGCTTCATTAACATGATCTTGCCGGCGCCCTAGTTCGAATCACAGCTGATTCAAACCAGGAAGTGCGTGCTGGGACGCGTTAGTTCGGACTAAAGCCGTTAGTCCGAACTAACGTTACTCCTCATTTTTTGAAGAGTAAACTCCTCATTTTTTGAGGAGTAACGTTAGTTCGGACTAAGGGCTTTAGTCCGAACTAACGCGTCCCGGCACGCACTTCCTGGTTCGAATCAGCTGTGATTCGAACTAGAGCGCCGGCGAGATCATGTTAATGAAGTGTGGGATATTTAAATCCCCACTTCATTAACTACTTCAGTCGTCTCCATTTGCATCCCTAGTCCGATCTAGGGATGCAGTGTAGACGTACCCTAGGACATCAGAGTAGGATACATCAGGTAAACTAAGCATTCTATGGGTACGTCTAAACTATATCCCTTTATCGAAAAAGGGATGTAGATTAGATGTATTGAAATTGTAAATGAAACCGGGATTTGAATTTCCCGCGCTTCATTTACATAATGGTGGCTTTTTTGAAAAAGAAAACACTTGTGGTCAAGTTGGGGATCTTTATATATAGTAGCCCATTGTCTGTGCGTCTGTAACGCTGAAGGACACGGCCACGCCCCCGGCCGTGTACGTCAGTGCCCCGCCCCCCTTCACCTCGCTCCCTGGCAGTTCGGGCCCCACGGCCCCCCTGGGTATCCCCCACCCCCCAGCTCTGCTTCCCCCTC